ATAAATGTTGTCATGTGTTCATTGATATTATGTTTTGCTTTCCTTTTTCCTCCCTTTCATATTTCCATTCTTCCTTCTTTCTTACTCCCTTTATTTACATCTCGCCTTCTTATATTTCTTCCTGATTTCTTTCCTTACTACTTTAGTTTTTTTATACCAACACTTATTAAATGTCTACCACATGCAAGTGTGAATAAAAAATAACCCTGACTTGTAGGGAAATTACAGTCTATTAGGGGATCAGAAATTTTAACAAATAAGTGCACATAATAGATACATGAACAGGGAAAAGGGTCTCAAAGAAAGAAGTGTTCCATTCTCTTGAAATAAGAATGCTGAAAGATAGGAATACTTTCATAGTTGAGGCAAGCCAGTTTATCTGAGTTACTTAAAACAAAGGTGGTTTACTATGCAAACAAGGATGAGAAGGGCTTTTCTAGTCAGTAAGCTATGAGAGTGAAGGTACTGAAGCATGAAATACTCAAGCATATCTGGGTAATGGGAAATGCAAATAGTTGAGAATATGAGATTGACTAGGGTACGAGGTGAAAAGGAGTGCCCTGAAGAGTGATGAAGCTGGAATCAACTAAACGATACGAGTGTCTCCTCTGTGTACTGGAATGAAAAGGGAAACACTTCTTACATTCAAAGAATTCTTTCTAATTAGAGCCTCTGAATTCATACACTGGGAGTAGACAAAAGACATAGACTCTCTGTGTCAACTCAGATATATTTTTACAGAACTTCTACTCTGTGCCTTCATCAAGCTGTGCACAGTGGGTGCCTAAACAAGAATGGATGGATTTAAGAATTGCATATTATGAGGAAACACAGTACTGGAAGGATATAAAATCAGAGGGATCTTTAAGGGGAGGTAAATCTTCAACTCCAATTTGAAGAAGGTGTGGGTCATCACTTATCAAGGGGGAGTATATTTTGTTCATTCTCTCAGAGATATGATATTTGCAGAAAGTAAAAATCAGAGACAACTACACCTTGGGGAACAGGTTGCTTTCTAAAGAGAGATGCAAGATACTTGATCTCAGTTTATATTCTCAATTTTTAAAATTCTATGCCCTTTCCTGTGCTGTAGATCATTCATGTCTTAAAAAAAAAAAAGTCCACGGTTCCTTGACGTAATAATGTAAAGGCCTAGGGGTTGGAAGGATTGTCAGTACAGGCCCAGGGAATGGAGAACGTGCTGAGAGATAGTGGGTCTTTGACTTTCTCAAACAATTTTGAAATATTGATTACCTGCTTTAAGAACTGGTGTCTTAGACTATTTAATACGTTTCTGGCAAACTACATACTCACTTGCTCACTCTGTGTTCATTCTTCCCAGCCTGTCTATCCCCAGAGAAGTGTTAGAGTGGAGCAGTATCTCTGAAAATGACATATGGTAATCTGTCAGTAACTGACAGCTGTGTAAGAGGTTCCAGCCTGAGGCTCCTCTCTACTGTCAGGCCCAGGGACAGCCCACCACTGGTAGGCTGTGCAGGAAGACATTTCCAACGGTAGACTGACATGTTCTGCTTCTTGTTTTTGTTCAGCAACAGCAGGCTGCACCAGTGGAGGGAGCTGCTGGAGAAGTGAGGGTTGTGGCTTTATATGACTTCCAGGCCCGCTGCAACCGAGAAGTCACGATGAAGAAAGATGATGTCTTAACTCTGCTCAGTTGCATCAACAAGGTGACTTTCTTTGCTAATCTTCTTCCCATCAACAAGGTGGCTCTTCCACAGTCATCTCTCCCAACCCTACCAGATATCTATATTTTGACCCGCCAACATTTTTCTATTGTTATCTCTCTTAAATAACCATAATTTATTGAGCACTTTCTTTCCTCCAGATGTTGTATAGGATCCTGTACGCACATATCTTTTGGGATAATAATGCCAGTTTTACAGTTAACCAAATGAAGACTCAAGTAGCTTAAGTAATTAGTCCAAAGAATATAGGAGATGAGGGGCAATTCTGTAATATATTTACAAGAATTATGTGTCCCTTTCTCCCAGTCTCTTTGCTTGTTCCTCTTCTGTGCCAGTGTTCCTAGTGATGGAACAACAATGGCTGGGGTTAAAAGAAGCCTGATCAAAGAGAAGGCTTTTGTCAACTTGATTTTCTTTAGACTTTATGCCTGTAAGAACAGTGACAAAATATTGGCTAGGATTTTAAATATATTTTTCATAAGAG